ATATATATATATATATATATATATATATGGGGGAAAATATGAAGAGGTTAAATACATATCACAGACTGAAAGTAACAGCAAAACAGTGCTTTGAGAGGAAAAGCACTGTACAGTAGTTTAGCGTTAAAGGTTAAAGAGGAAGAATCAATGTATGAGCTTTAAGTGCTTTAGTCAATAAAACTGGAAGACTGCAGCTATATTAATAAAGTTTTGTTATTGTTTGTTATTTGAAGCCATGAAAGAATGATGACAAAAATACACCCTGTGCAAATTACCAAACCCATCAATATTACAACTTTATTATTAAGACATGGGATGATCTGATGGATCATAATTGAGTATTTAATTAAATTAATATTTTAAAGGGCAGTTTGTATTCTGTAAACGGAACAGTCAGAGTAAAAAATTATATAGGAAAAACAGAAATTGAATTCAAATGTAGGCTTAATCTATGTGTAAATTTGATATAAGGTTATCAAATGCAAATAGGTGTAGATCATATATTAATGCTTATGGAGCAATAAAATAGTTTTAAAATTGCTTACAGGTCACAAAAAAGATCAAAGAATAAAGTTGGGTCTAACCTAAAATTCATTACTTAGGCTTATCAAGAAAAGATTAACTTTAGATGCCATTTTAAAAAAGATTAATAAAAATTTTTTTACTCTCCTATCTACTCATTGAGGTCTGTGAAATCTTCCAGCATGGTGACACTGCTTTTAGGAGAACTGATTTTTCAGAATGTTTGGACATAGTATGGTGATATACACTGGTAAGGAGTTTACAGCCCTCACTGTACAAAGAAATCCAGGGTTAACCCTGATATTACCTGGAAAACTGCTTGAGGTACAGGCCTCTTGACTCCACTAGCAAAAAATGAACAAAACACACTGACTTTATCTCAGTTGCTGTATGACAATAGTCTGGTTTAACTTGGTAAAATACCAGTCACACAAACAACAAAGCCTAGAAAGGCAGCAACAGGTTGTCTATTCTTTAAATACATTTAAGGCATTTACATTTCTTTAAATCTGCTTGGATCAGGAAGCAATGATCAGCAAGGGGGAAGGCTTATGGTTCCATTCGAGATTTAAACTTTCCATAGTTCACACTTTATACCTCATGGTAAAAAATACAAAAATAGATTTTTATGATAGTTTGCAAAGTGTGGTTAATGTTAGCAGTGCTAGCACCAGCAGCCTTCTTTTGCGGGTATGCATACCTGCATTGCTTCAGGCGAGTGATTATATGGCAGGTTACTTTGACACAGACATGCATATGAAATGGAGAGAGACATGAATAGATGTACACTTCTGACATATCCTAGACCCAGATGTTAACTGTGGCTATAGATTATTAAAATCACAATAATTTTGATGACTGGTATTTCTGTTGGCCTCATTAGTCAGTAACAAGTATCTAGATGACTGGGTACACACCACACTAGAAAGAACTGTTGAAATTTTTAAGGCAAAGCTAGCTTTCCTGTGAACAAAGTCTCTGTTTACATTCTGAAAAATCGTTTCTACCTACTCAAAAATGTTTCTTAAAGTGATATTTGTAGGAGTATTTACTGATCACCATACACTGTACCGATTTTACTGTTCCATTGGTGTATTTCTGTAATATACTTACATATCTATACTGTTGCTAATATATATTGTAATATATCTATATCACTAAAGCACTTCTAGATGGATGCAAACTGCATTTCGTTGCCCTGTACCTGTGCATGTGCAATGACAATAAAGTTGAATTCTATTCTATTCTATTTCTGCTGTGTCTGACAGTATGAAACGGAGGCATCCAGTTCAATAAAACCAATACGAATAACAGTATAATTTTGTTGTAGCAGGTGTTCTTTACTCTAAATGTGTACCTTTGATGAACTAGCCTCAATCAATAACAGCTTTGACATCTGTGTGTGTGTTTGCAGGCAGATGAAGACCCCATTATGGGTTTCCATCAGAGTTTCATCCTGAAGAACATTAACGATGCATGGGTGTGCACCAATGACATGTTCAGGCTGGCCATTCACAATTTCGGTTAACCTGCGTCTCCACTTTGGCGGGCAGGGGCAGCCATAGTGAAGGTCACTGTGTGAAGTATGGAGGGAGGAGAAGAGAGAGCACTCATCCCTCCCTCCCGGCTGTTTCATTCACGCCTGTGTTGACAAACAAGCAAACACCAGATTCTAGATGTCAATCACTGAACCTCATCCAGACGGGTTTTCAGACCAGCCCAGCCTGTAGAACTGCAACGTGTTTCTTTGCTGAGAGCCGGCTGACCAATCAAAGGCCCCTGTCTGCCACTCTGCTGATCTGCATGATGCTGGGAACCCCCTCATTACAATACTCAAGCCACCCGAAGGACAGACAGCTGACCGATGCCATTAACTCCGCTCTGCTCGCCTCTTTACTCTACTCTAACCCATTCTACTCTACTGTTGACTCCACTGCTGTCAACTCAGTTCTGTTAGCACTGTTGTTGACTGGTTTGTAGTCCCATGTTCAGGTTCAAAGATGGCTTCTTCAGTTTCCTTTTCACATATTTGTTTTTAGATGCCACTTGTGTGTTTACATTAGCTCGCCTTAGTGTGTTAAATAGAGTTTTATCTTCCTTTACACAACTGTTAACTTTGCCATGATTCATTTGCTCATGGATGACAAAGGTTGACATTGCTGTGTTTTGCTCTGACCCTGCTTATTTTCTCTCTCTCTTCTCTCTCTTTCACACACATCTGGCAGTTAAACATGGACTACAGCCACGATACACAATAAAACCTGGACTTTTTTTCTTAATGGTGTGACCTTGTCTTTCCATATCATGCTGTGGTGCCTCTTTAATTATAAACTTTTCGTAAATGTTAATATTAGTTTTGTCCTTAGGCTGTTTTTTTTTTTCTTGTTTAAATGATTAATAGAAGGTCAGCTAGATGCTCAGTGTCCATCATTTTATGACTTTGTTTTTAAAAGGGGACCATGTCGTTTCAGTGTAAATTCACATTTCAAACCATGTATTTAAAGTCTGCACAGTCTAAATGACGGTATGTTTTTACTACCAAGAAATAACCAATTAACCAAACTAGCAAAATTCAGTTAAATTTGGAAGGATGTTTAAAAACAACACTAGGAATTGTAAAAACAAATTTAGCACGACCCTGGTTCGTTTTAAGACCAGCCCAACGAAATTATAGATATAATTTGAAATTATCGGTCATCTGAGGAAATGTCTCATTGTGAGATTATGATGTTTAGTATACCCTGAGTTAAAGAGACAGATTCTGTAACACCAGAGAGCCTCAGTGAGAAACCCTCTTTCAGTCATTCTCACAATGTCATGCATACATTTATTGCTCATTTTGACATTTAGGGACCATAAAGGTTTTATTAGCTGCCGCCTGCTGGTCTGATATGATCAAAAGCGTTATGTCACAACACAAAACCAAACCAAAAACAGCTGCTAAAAGGAGACATGTACGACGCCGTTGATAAAACTAACAAAAAATAAATACAAAAAATTCATAAGGACAATAATAATAATTCAACTCAAATATCTAACAAAGTTAGTGACTGGTGTCTTCTCGTGGAGAAAATGAACGTCAGTAGCGTTCGAGGTGGGAACCATTGACCTGACACAATGACAAGTCGGAATCCATTGCGCGGACGAAACGGAAGTTTAGACGGTTGCTCGGGGTGAACAGTGACAGCAGCATCGCAGGAAACAAATTTTCATCCTTTCCCCCTGAACAAACCCGAGCTCCCCTTTCCCTCACCCATGGCGTCCAATACTAATATAGACATCGAGGGTGCAACCCAGCATCTTCGGGACATCCTCAAGCTCGACCGCCCCGGGAACAGCACCGGTAAGTGGGGGCCGTGAGCGAAAGCGCCTGCGCTGGTTTAGGCCGCAGAAGCTAGTTGAATGCTAGTTAGCTGGCTAGCTAAATAAATAACTTAGCCAGCGTGATGTGTGTCGCTTAGTTGTGTTGAAACGAAGTCAGGGTCAACTGCAGCTTTTGCGTGAAAACACAGTTGAATCACACTGAATCTGTTTTAACACTAATTTCCGCGGAGCCGCGAAAGTGTATCGGGACGTCGTAATGTTGGAGTGCTAACTGCGTCGTAAAGTATTTTATCATCCTCAGTGTTAGCTCGGTTAGGAGCTTAGCGTATGTGTGTATCTGTTTTTTTGGTGTAAAAAAGCGTGTCTTAGGTAAATATTTCGTCTAGTAGAAATTAACTTGCTGTTTTTACTTCGAAGCCATAAAAGTGGTTATACCTTTGTCCTTAATTAATGTGAGGCATTTAACTGGTGTGAACAAGCCCCCACAAACTGCGCAGAAGGGTGGACTTACTTTACTAATTTGGGAACACCAATTCACGTGTGTTTGTTTGTCTCACTTGCGATGTATTGCATGGCAACTTTATCATGTAGTGTGAAGAAGACATGCTGATTTTAGGAACTCAGTATCTTGCACCTGTGTTAGCCTTAATTATCTTTACGTCATAGTATTTTATGTTGGGGGTAGGTGTAGAAATTGGACTCTCAGACCAGTACACTACTTGGTGACCGTTTCGGCACACTTTGAAGTAACACCAGAATGGAAAAGTAGCATATATTACGCCTTAACGTCTCTTTACTTTGCTGCCTTTTTCATTAGTAAATGCTTATAAACCGTGGAGAATCAGAAGTATTAAATACATAATATACTACGACCTGAATTCTTTGTTTGTCTAAAACTTTAGGCTCTGTTTCCCAGGGATGCTTTAAATCCAGTCCTAGATTAAACATTTCTTTTGGTTTAACTTTTCTTTACTAAGACTCAGTTTAATCTACATGTGGAAAGTTTTGTCTGCTTTAGGCTTTGTATGATGTCAGTAGGAATGGATATTTTTAATATGGTAATATCAGACACACGTCTTGTTGTGAGCACACAAACCCCATTTGCCTGCTGTTAATTCTTCTGTTTGAGAGGAGCTGCCAATCATAAGAACATTGCCTTAAAATGAGGGGAAGGTTTCTTAAACAGCCTTTTTCTCAGACAAATAAAGTGAGGGTCTGCATCAAGGCTCTGTATAAGATAAATAAGCATAATTTTAGAGTGCCTTAAATCCTCAGAAAAATATGTGCTGGAAATGAGCCTAATAGATCGCCATTGAAAATATAGGTTAAAAAATATTGTCCTACACGTTGTAATGAATATTGTGTGTATCACTATGAGACTGCATGTGACTCATTGTTTTGTTGCAAAGTCTAAAATCACTGTACAATTGTGCATCAGTGACATGATTGTGTCAGGCTCTGAGATGAGTCAAAAGTAAGCTGGTAAGGAAGACCCAGAACAAACACAAGCTCTTTGCAGCTGCTGGATCTCCTACTTTCATTGTCTTTCTCAGATGGAAATTCAAGTGAAAGTGGTAGAAAGCCATCTTTTAATGGAGAGCTGAATGGGCTATTGGGAACAGGCCTTCTGGGGAGCACTGACCGGTCATCCATGTCAGAATCGACAAGACCCATCTCCACAGATCTCAGCAGTGCTCAGGAGATTCAGATAATGTGAGTTTCTCATTTAACCTGCTTAGTGGTGTCATATTTATAAGGACTTTTGAGTTTTTTGTTTGTTTGTTTGTTTTGTTTTATTTTTTTAACTGAATCAATGTGCTGCAATTTCAGCTGCCTTTCTGGTGATGATGGCTCTACCTGTATTCCAATTACTTCTAACAATGTGGAGATTGTGGCAAGCCAAGACTCTAGCATCAACAGCAAGGCTCGAGGCAGCAACAAGGTAAGAAACCAAATCATCAGCTACAACCTGGCAGCTCTGGTGAAGAGAACAAATGAGAAATTTGGAGACAGTCAGTACTTCTGACTGTGGCTGTTATTTTTATCTGAGCCTGTATCTGTGATGACTCAACATGGTGTTTTGTTTTCTTTTTTTTTCTTTTTTACAAGTGATAAGCTACAGTATTTATCTAAAGATATCTGAACTAATTTTTATGAGCACTATAGTCTCCTATTCTCTTTTTATAACATTTCATAAAATGTCATATCATTATCAAATGATATGGTTTTCACATAATTTGAGAAAATGATATGATGGAAAATGGAATTGTACAGTTATAAA